TACAAAAACTATTAATGTGCAAATGAAATAATGGTATTTTGCATGGAGCCAGAATTCCCCATTGTAATGCTGATTTTTATTATTTTTTGTTCTGGAACCATCAATGATTAATGTAGGCTTGTAGCATAATGGGTCAGTCTTAAGGCCAGTTATTTTAATGCAATTACTGTATTCACAGCTCATTTTTCCAATATGTTAATGGAAACACTGGGATGTTTAGTAGCTGACCCAAATGTCTTAGTTAAAAAATATTTCTCATTGCTATCCAGCCATTGCAAACACTTTATATATGAAAGGTTATAGATTGCACAGTGTGTGTGTGTGTGTCTGTCTGGATCTGTGAGTATGTGTGTCTGTGAGTCTTTTTGAGTGTATCTGCTTGTTTGTGTCATTGTGTGTGTATCTCTTTACTGTGTTTGTGTGCGCTTGCAAATATCCTACATTTATATGCCAACACTACCCACAAATATATCTATTTAAATGCTCAAACATACTCCTTATACACTAGCATTCACTATAGATACAGACACTACACTACACACAAATATATTCCTGCATTCAAACGCCACTACACAAAAATACATGCATGCACTCAATGCCAACATTATACATAAATACTTCAGTGTATTCACGGAACACTAACATCACACAGAAATACAATACGCAATAATTAAAAAATGTATTGTCTGTTGGGAAGATTGAAAAATCAGTTGGGTCACCTAGATATTGGTGTATATTTATAAAATTACAACTAGGGCACAAAAAAAGCAAAACATTTAAGAAATTTAACAGATTCAATATTTGTACCAACTGTTTGCAGAAAATTTGACTTTAGTGTCTGCAATGTTCTGCTAAATCTCCCACAAACTGTTCCTGGATATTTTATTTTTCAAACACTGGCAACTATCTATAAAGGAGAAATAATATTATCTTGAAAGCCTCACCTGGCTCTTAAAGAATATCTTCTTAACGCCTTTTATATTAAACAATTGTGCCAGGATGATATCAGTTGTGTTCCATTAGCCGCACATATCTTCAGTTATGTCATGCTGCTCTTATAATGTCATTGACCATGTCTGACCTTTGCTTATCTCAAAAGAGCTAACAGAAGTTCCTAAGCTAAAGCTTTCGGCTGTCAGGATCATATCCTGACAAACAAGACTTGTGTTCCTTTTATTTCTGTTCCTTTAAAACAAGTTCCTGCTCGGATTTTATTATTTACCACTAGTGGCCTCCCTTGCCTCTAGTTCTGAAATCTCACCTGCTCCTGTTTAATTACTTGCTTTGGCTACAAAAGGCTACACCCAACTAACCTCAAGGCCTTTACATTGATTGGTGATTTGCCTGAAAGTCTTCAGTTCCTGGTTCCTGTGAACCTGCTCCAGACTTACATTCAACCCTGCTCCATACCAACCTGCTCCAGACTTAGCTTCAACACTGCTCTATACCAACCTGCTCCAGACTTAGCTTCAACATTGCTCTATACCAACCTGCTCCAGACATACCTTCAACACTGCTCTATACCAACCTGCTCCAGACTTACCTTCAACCCTGCTCCATACCAACCTGCTCCAGACTTAGCTTCAACACTGCTCTATACCAACCTGCTCCAGACATACCTTCAACACTGCTCTATACCAACCTGCTCCAGACTTAGCTTCAACATTGCTCTATACCAACCTGCTCCAGACTTACCTTCAAACCTGCTCCACTCTTACATATGACTTGACCTGGAGATAACAGACTTTCTTTATTATTTGCAAGTATCCTGTGTTGTGGCATATTATCTAAATTCTGTTTTACCTCAAGTTTCATTATATGTCCAAAAGCACCAATAAAGTCTCAAATAACAACCCTGGCCAAAGTCTCCTTTCTGACCTGCTAAAGAACATCAGCTCTCTGGCTTAGCTAGTGGAGCTGGGTAGCTGTACCTGGGAGACCTCAGGTAAAAAGTCAAGCCATTCTAAAATGTTTTGACTACTTACAATGGGGGTGCCAGACCACACCTGGCATCATAACCCTTATAATATAGTGTTCCTATAATATACTAATAAGACCGGTTAAAATTCTCAGCTATAGCCTATAAAGCCCTTAAGCCACTTAAATTTATAGAATTTAGTTAAAATTTACTGATTTGGAAACATTTTGCTATTCATTTTGAGTGAAAGTTTAAACATTTTTGTCTAAAATTAATTTTGGGATTAAAGCCTACAATATCTGCAATCAGACAGTTTTCAATTATACATTTGCTTAAAATTTGTTTGCATGATATTAAGGAGAAAAATGATTCGCTATAAAGCATCTTCTTTAGAAGCTCTATAAAATATATCTTAACACCTTTTTGTGTTAACTTTCTGTACCTGGATGGCATCAGTTGTGTTCCATTAGCCACACAGAACTCCAGTGATGTCACTCTGTTCTTATGATGTCAATGGCTAAACTTATAAATACCCTGCACAGCTCAGGTCTAAGCCACTGTGCACTTTCCACAATGCAAAAACTTATACATGCAAAATTTACAGTGATGGGATGATAAACTGATAATGTTGAAGATCAACTAAATGAGGAATTTTGGAGCAGTAGCCTGGGAATTTTAAATTTATATCCAAAATAGACATTGTAAAAAAAACTGGGAATTGGGAAAATTCTTCTTCTAAAATAACTTTTTTGACCTAAAATTTTTCTAGTTTATTAACCCATGGTCTTTATGGTCAACAATATTCTGTGGGTTTTAAAAGATGCTTTGTTTTTGATAACATGAGAACTGTGAAGTATTCAAAGTAAACTTTAAATCTAAGGCCAAAGGAGCTGGCTTGGATATTTTTTTTCATTTTGCCTATTTTGGCCTTAAATGTGATGTTCACTTTAACATCCCAGATATTCTCACTTTAGTAAACAACTCTGTATGTTTACCTTGATGCTATTTTACTGGACCTTTTCTATAAATATTCCATAATATTGTTGCTCCCCACCTGTGTCTGTTTTCAAGTATACCACTGATAGACTGTCAGTCTCTTTTGAACTGCTAGACAGTCATACTGTTTTGTTTTGCTTTCTATTAAACAGAGCTTTATTGTGAATTAAAGACCCAAAACACAAAATGTTGCTAAAATATGCTGATTTGGAAAAAAAATTCTATTAAATCTAGAGTAAAAGTTCAGAGATTTTATCCTAAATGTTGCATTTCAGATTCCAGATCACTACAATGCACTGTTTTGTGAATAAACCTTACAAGTAGAGTTGAGCGAAACCGAACTGAAAAGTTCGGGTTCATACCGAACATTACGTTTTTTGAACCCCGGACTCAAACATGGACATATCACTGTATGTTCGGGTTGGAGTTCGGCGATTTAATGGTGCGTTTTCAAAGGCTGCAGGGCAGCCAATCAACAAGCGTTTGACTCGTGTGCCCTTAGAAGCCATCACAGCCATGCCTACTAATGGCATGGCTGTGATTGGCCAATGCAGCATGTGACCCAGCCTCTATATATAAGCTGGAGTCGCATAGCGCCGCACATACGTGCGGTCTCATTAGTGTAGGGAGAGGATGCTGCCGCTGAAAAGGACAGCTTAGGAAAGAATTCTGCAAACTAGTACATTAGTGGGGTGGGGTGCACTTCATATCTGAGAGTCAAATAGAATCATCAAATACTGCTGTCACATTGCAGTTTTAAAACTTAAAATTATTTGGGTGCTAAAAAGTGCATTAGTGGGGTGCACTTCATATCTGAGAGCCAAACAGAAGCATCTAATAGTGTGTTTACAGGGCAGTGGTAAACATTCTTATTTTCTGGGTGCTAATCTGATAAATAGTACATTTTGGGCCTGCTCTTTATATCTGAGAGTCAAATAGAAGCGTCTAAAAGTGTGCTTACTGCATAGTTGTAAACATTATAATTGTTTTGCTGCTAATCTGCTGCTTACATTGGAGTTTTAAAAAGTTTTTTGGTTTTTTTGGTGCTAAATAGTATATTTCAAACCAGTGATCAATAGCTAAGAGGTACTTCAACAATATTGTAATTCTGGGGCAATACCCTCACAAGTCAAACTGAGAGGTCAGTTTATAGGGAAAGCTGTTGCCTGGATACAATACTAAAACCATTTCCATATGTCCTTAGCAGACTTTACATGCTGGAGAAACACAGGTGCCAACTGCTGTGGCTTTCTGCAGTGTGCATACCGACAAGGAGGGCAGGGTTGAGGAGTGGGTGGAAGATGATGTGGAGGATGATGAGGTCCTAGACCCCACATGGAATCAAGGTCATGCGAGTGACGTGTGCAGTTTGGAGGAAGAGGCGCTGGACGCACAGAGGCACCAGCACAGCATAAGAGGGAGCAGGGTGCAAAAGCGGAGCTCGAGAATTACCAGTTATCCAAGTAATACATGTAACGATCAAAGGATCCATAATAGACTTGAGCGAACCCGAACTGCAAAGTTTGGGTTCGTACCAGATTTAACGATCCATTCGTAGTTTCACAGTGAGGTGAGCAGTCCGGTGACCAGGACTCAGACACTGTCTGGGCGGCGGTCAGATGACCGGGACCCAGTATGCCTGATGTTGAAGTTAGGAGTCACAGTGTGGAATGGATTAGCAGGGTATGGTGCAGGGTAACCTCATGCCCCCTGCTGTTGAGCACCATCATTTTTGTGGTCACATACCAGGACCCTGATGCAGCTTCAGTAAAAAGAGTACTTGATACCAGAAGCCATCACCAGACTGATCCGCGACTTGGAACAGGATTTGACATTCACTGTAGCGGCTATGCGCGCTTTTGGCGTTGTCACCCTGCTGCTGCTCGCCTGTCTGCTCGCCGGCCTTCCCATTCACCGCCTCATGAGACTGTGCTAGCAGCAGCAGGCGATAGTGGAGTTTCAGCTGCAGCACGCACTGGTCAGTGGCTCTGCACCAGACTTCCCTCCAATTGATTATAGAGTTAAAGGATTTCAAGTGGACTCATTACAATTACAGGGCCTCTAAAGAGTCCTGTATTGTTATTTATCGTCACTACCTTCCCGCATCAGGAGTGGGTCATTTGCGCGCCTGCTGCCTTCCTTGCATGTGGTAGCCGTTTCTCAGGGTCCCTGTACGGAATGGAACCCTGATTCCCCGTTACCCGTGGTCACCATGGTAGGTGCAGAAACTGGCATAGAAAGTTGATATGGATGACATCCACATGCAAAGTCGCCGCCACGGGGATGTGCGATTTGCCCGAGTTCTCTAGAGTCAACAAAGTTCCTGCGCAACTATAATGTCAACAGCTACTCTGCGGAACAGAGTTGTCTTTTTTTTTTTTTTTTTATATGTCCCAATATGACCCCAATTTAAAAAAAAAAAAAATAAATAAAAAAATATATACACACACATACCAGTGTTGGCTAGAGATGTCGCGAAACGTCCGCGAACGGTTCGCCACGGTTCACCACGAGCTGTTCGTGGCGAACTCCGGTCAGCTGACACATCCCGGCCAATCTCCAGCAGACCCTCCCTCCCAGACCCTCCTACTTCCTGGACCGCATCCATGTTGAAACATGGATGCTGTCCAGGAAGTAGGAGGGTCTGATTGGCCGGGATGTGTCAGCTGACCGGAGTTCGCCACGAACAGCTTGTGGTGAACCGTGGCGAACCGTTCGCGACATCTCTAGTGTTGGCTACCTCCTCCACCGCTGCTTCCACCTACACTGCCACCGTCACCACCTCCTCAACATATGGTTCACTTAGTATAAACTAGGTACACATTAGCAGAGGCTTGTGAAGGCCTTTACTCCATTCATCAGAATTTGAGCTCAGTTTGAACAATGAAAGAGAATACCCTGCACTCCAACCCTCTCTCAAATGGATAATTCTGATGATCCTCCTGACAGCCATGCTTTAGATTTTGCTTTGTTCTTCCAAAACTAAAATCAAAGATTCCATCTAGTGGTATTTGATGGCTCAGCTGTATTTTTAATTTTTATGTTATTTTAAGTGATTTCCCTATCCACATTTGTTTGCAGGGCACTTGTCCTGCTCTTACCCCCATTTTACTTCCTTTTGCAGCTCTCTAGCCCTTTCCAGGAGTTTTTTTAGAGGCATTTTTGTGGCCAAAAGTTTGGGTCCCCATTGACTTCAATGGCGTTCGGGGTCAAGTTCGAGCCCGAACCCGGACCTTTTTTCAAAGTTCGGATGAACCCGCCGGACCCGAACATCAAGGTGTCCGCTCAACTCTACTTACAAGGTGTACTGCAATCTGTTTTTAAGGATACCTTTGCTTATAATGTGTTTATATGATGATGATGATGATATGTGATATAAAATAATTATTCTCTATAATGCATTACCTTGCTCTAAAAAAAAGTATCTCTTTAACACCTTTTGTATTAACTGTGCCTGGATTAATTTAGTGATGTGATACTGTTATTATGATGTCACTAACCAAGCTGATAAACACCCTGCTCAGCTCAAGTCTTAGACACTCCACACATCTTTTACAGAACCAAGACACACACATGCACACAGAAATCAGAGTGATGGGAGGAAAACAGTTAATGTTGAAAATTAAACAAGCATGACATTTTGGAGAAGTGACCCAAAAATTACAACCTATGTCCAAAGCAGGTAAAAAATGTAAATTAAGAGAATATTTCCAATATAACTGCTTTGTGAAATTTCCTAGTTAAAGAAACCATGTTCTTTCTGGCTAATTGTGTATCAAGAAAAGCTGTGTGTCGGATATTTTTGATCATACACTCAACTTGCTACTAAGTTATTGGACATTTTCTATTGTTTTTTTTTTGTTTTTTTCTTTACATGAGCTTTGATTTCCGATTTTTGGCTAAGCTTTATTATTATTAAATATTTTAGATATACCTTTAAAGATATTTAACAAAACATTTTAATGTTTCTCTATTTTTTTAACTATATTTATATTATTTGTATCTAGAATATGTATTTTTGATATTGTTTCTGTAACTGTAGCTTCATGACAAGTATGTCAGTGAGTGATGCAATTGACATACATGCCGATATTGTCTATGTTATTTTCATAGTATGAAATTCTTCTGTATCAGAACAGTAGGTCCATATGATTGTGTAATGATTTCTCACGGCTAGCCAGTAATAGTAGAATATCTGCAAACAGAGAAATAGATAGCTATCCCATTGGGGAGGCCCTGCATCCCAGGGTGTGCCCTGAACTGTTGGATCAAGGCTTCCAATGCCAGAATAAAAATTAGGGGTGAGAGAGGGCAGCCCTGGTGGGTAACATTGGTTATCTCAAATGACTAAGAAGTAAAGCCCGAATTTGATATTTGCGCAAAGGGTTTAATGTACAGGACTAATATGCCACCTAGGAACTTGCATGGAAAGTCACATTTTCATAGGGTGGTCTGCATGTTTTTCCAGTTTATGCGGGTGAATGCCTTTTTGGAGTCCACCGTGAGCTGTATCTCTTTGACCTTAGTTTTGTGTGCTATTTCTATCATGTCTAGGAAACCCCAAAACCTGCCGGTTCCTCCAATTCCAAGTGAGAAAACAATAGGTTACATCTATTAGCCAAGAGAGCAGGAGCATAGAGCTGGAGCAGTTCATAGATTCAACTCCTTCATGGTGCGGTCTCACTCCTCTGTTGATTGCCTTTAGGGCACCATTCCTCTATATTGGTAGTTTTGTGAGGAAACCCCACCTGTATGCTACCTTATGCTGCCACTGGAGGCACTGCCTGCTTGCTAGGCGACCTTTGGTTGCCTAACTGATGCCGGACATACTCACGCTCTGCATGAGGACATCCAGTGTTAGTTAAATTCCCATAGGAAAGCATTGCAGCAAAGACATTGGTGCTGGAATCGGGTAAGTACAGTAAGGATTTATTAACCCTTTATGAACCAGGTGGGGCATAAGGGAGGGGAGGCTAGAGGAAACCATGAGACAAGGAATACAAATGTGTATTCCTTACACTATAGAATTCCTTTTTTCCATGTTCAGTAGTGCTGTACAATAGTAAACAAGACAAAGTAAAAACATGCAGCCCTTAAATCCTTATTACACAGTAGACTAATTTATATAGAATAATTTTACTTTTCTAGAAAGCATTAATAATTATAACTATCCCCTGTCAATATCTGTTATGAAAGCATTAAACATCATATATACATAATTTGTTTGCACAGGTTTTCACTTAAAAAGTACTGTTACAAAGTATTTTAGCATATTATATAGTGAATGAGAAAAAACCCTTGCAAAACTTTGAACATACTGGATTGTATGTCATACCTAAAATTCTCTTGAAAACGACTTATTTTATTTCATTAGCTGTAGTTCTACTTGACTTCATTTTGATACATTTTGCATGTGTTAAATCACTCTATAAATCAATCCATCCATTTAATGCTCATAGGAATAGTTTAATGGTCGTTTTTATTTTTTTTATTTTAATGTTGCAATATGTTTGTGTGTGTATATATATATATATATATATATATATATATATATATATATATATATACATACACACATACACATATATATTGTGTAAAACAACCCTATATTTCTACACCAGATATTGAGTTGTAAATCCCTTTTATTAAAATAAATTGATTTATTAGTTTAAAAAAAAATAAAAAAAATATTGCACCACATATTCAGGGTGGGGGTTTACCATTGATTTGTGAAGAGGCAAAATTATATTTGTATCATGCGAATCAAACCCCCTTTTATACACGAAAGCACCTTACTAGCTTTTGCAACAGGAGACCAGCATTGCATACTGTTGCCTAGTTTGTTATCTATAATTGTTCCCAAGTTCTTTTCATTCAATATTACCCATAACTCAACCCCATTTAAAGTGTCTTGTGAATTTCCTTATTCCAAAATGCATGACTCTGCATTTATCTATATTGAATCTAATTTGCCATTTGCCTGCCCAGTTCCCCAATTTATCCAGAGTTACAGAGGGGTTGTGTTTTCTTACTTTGACTGTATGTTCTTACCTAGTTATGTCTTCTGCAAACACCAACAAATTACTTTCAATGTCCACTTCAAAATCATTAATGAACAGATTAAATAGAAATGGACACAGGACAGAACCCTAAGGCACTCCCATTACCACTTTCATCCAATTAGAAAATTTCCTGTTGTTTCCGGGTCGAGCTTTTGAACCCTTTTTAAATATAGGTGCATCATCTGCTTTTCTACAATCCTCTGGTATAATTCCTGAAAGAAAAGAATCCTGAAAATGTAAATTAGCAGTATTGATATTTCTACGTTAAGCTCCTTTACCATGCATGGGTGAATACCATCTGGCCCTTGTCCTTTTGTTTACATTAACTTTATTTCATTTCTGATGCACGTTATCCTGTGATAATCAATCACCTGTTTGCTGTAAGGCTTTTGTAACATTGATTTGCAAATCTACAGCCATAGATTCTTCTTCCCTAGATATTGAAGAAGAAATTATAATTTAGAGTTTCTGTCTTGTCACGATCCTTCTTGATTAACTCACCCATCTCACTTTCCAACAGAACAACACTTATACTTTATGGTATTAACATACTTAAAAAATATTTTGGGGCCGGTCTTACTAACCTTGGCTGTGACCTTTTAATTTTAAGTTTAGCTCATCTAATTTCCCTCTTGCAATCTCTTTTTGCATGCTTATGTTTGTTATAGGATGCAATCAACTTTGACTTAAATGTTTTGAATGTCCTTTTCTTATCTTTTGTCATTTGATTGACCCTTGTATTAAGCCACGTGAATCATTTAATCTGCTTCTTTTATATTTGTATCCCAATGGTATGTATTGAGAAATGTACTGTTGTAGAATTTGTTTAAAGACCTTGCATTTATCCACTGTGCATTTACCAGTGAATATTTCCTGCCAGTCAATTAGTTGTACAGATGCCCTTATTATATTGAATTTAGCCATTTAAAAAAAAATTAAGTGTGGGGAGGGGTTTACAGCCCATTTACACTTTTTTTTTTTTAATTTTTTTTTTTTAGTTACTCCCAAATGATGCCACATTATGGTGACTATTTCCCAAGTGCTCCCAGCTGTCCTAACCTTGTCTGTCCTTCCCATCGCTTGGGTATTACCAATAAGTCAATGCAGCCATGGCTTAATCAGGTAAATAGAAAACTGTTTTTATAATCAAAACGTTTAAAGGTAGTGTACCGGTGAAAGGGTACTGGGAGAAAAGATGGTCTATTAAAGTGCTAAAAGGCTCCACAATAAATATAGGAGTCTAAAGTACAATCGAAAAACTAGAACAAAAGATTTCAGCATGACAGCTTGTATCTTTGATTCAGTTTAACTGACATTACTGATCCAGCATTCAACTTAGTGATACAATTTTCTATTATCTGTATTGTAACTTCTATCATCTCCAGTTACACAACGTTAGCTGAACTTTAACTGTATTTTTTGGCACG